TGAGATATATAAAAGATGGAAACCTTCTAAATTATTTAACTAAAGATTTTAAGAATTTAAAATGGAAAGCCAAAATTAACATTCTTCATCAAATTATTAAAGGTTTAAGAGATATTCATGAACAAAAAATTATTCATCGTGACCTTCATAGTGGAAATATTCTTCAATATTCTGCTAATTCATTTATTGCAGATTTAGGATTATCATGTCTGGCTAGTCAAACATCAGCATCAAATAAAAATGACATATTTGGAGTACTGCCATATGTTGCACCAGAAGTTTTAAGAGGAAAACCATATACAATGGAATCAGATATATATAGTTTTGGAGTTCTGATGTCTATAATATCAACTGGTCAACAGCCATTCAGCAGTTTTGCACATGATGTAGGTCTTCAAGTGAGAATATGTGAAGGTATAAGACCTGCATTTTCAATCAACACTCCAAAATTCTATATTGAATTAGCATACAAATGCATGGATGCTAATCCAGATAATCGCCCAACTGCTAAAGAAATATTTACAATTATTAATAATTGGAAATTTACATTATGGTCATTTGAAGAAATATTTGATAAAATGGATGAAATTTTATTTGATCCTTCAACAGTTACTGCAACAATTCATCCAAATGCAGTTTATACTAGCAGATTATTAAAATTTACAGATCTTCTTCCTCAACCTGTTAATTCCAATAAAGTAACAATTATTGGTAATCATAAAGGTAACTATTAATTGATTAATCTAATCAACATTAATATTATATTAATTATTGTATATTTTTTTCAGATTCTCAACAGGTTGATTTAGATTTACTAGATATGTTATAGTAATTGTAAATTTGAATTGAATCACCTAATTTTTGGTTTATTTCGTTCAAATTGAGCATGATTTATGCTTTTATTTGAATCAATATATACAGTATTACCTAAGATATAAATAAATTGACCCAATGAATCATAATTTGCTTTGCTTTGATTCAGATCAATATATAGTATCTAATATATATAAATCTTTGATTCATTGAAACGCAATTCTCATATGCATCACATCCTATAAAAAATTATGTTACTGAGTACATTTTGAAAATGGTATGGAGTAGACGTTTTATGTATCTTCCATATTAAAATGGATTTTTCACGCATGGAAGGAGCCTAGACAATAGAAAAAGGACAATAACACGAAAAAAAAGTAATTTGGCCATTCCTATATATAATTCTTTACGTAGACATTTTTGATTTAGAAACCGTACCCACTGTGTAACATTTTGAGATATTGATTTTAAAGTTTCAAAACTCTGAAATTTTCAGAACGTGAAATCGTTGAAACATTTTGCCTTAAGATTACATTTGGATAGGTGGGTGCATTAAGTAGGTCGAAAGTTGATCATTTTTTTGCGCCGATTTCATATCTAGCACGTGAAAATGGATCAATTATTAGTATTATTTATTATCGAAGAATTAGGCTCGATCATTAATAATCCAATATAGTATTATAGCATTATTATAGTATTATAGTATTATATTATTATATTATTATATTATTAATAGATCAATTTCTCTTCTTGCTTGGCAAATTACTTGAAAGAGCAACAAATAAAGAGGAGGCGTTGGGAGAAACCCTTGACTTCTTGGCGGATACTTTGGTGAATACGAGTATTTCTTTATTTGTACTTGGAAGTCTACCTACAAAAATTTCACAATAAGCAAAGAGCAAATAAATAACTGAGCAACTATTAACATATTTTCGAACAAATTAATAACAAAAATTATATTTACTTGTCGCTTTTTTTATTGCCTTTATTTCTACTTCTGCTTTACGCTACGACTAGAAGATCAAGAAATTTAAATAATAAAAATAACAATCAATTTTTAAAATGGAATCTAGTTTTTCATCCTTGGAAAAATTGAGCATATTATTTAACATTGATAAAGATGCGCCAACATTAAAATATATCGACAAGTTAATTAATGATTTAACAAATTTGCTGAACGGGTCAGATTTTTGTGATGTTGAAATTAAAGTTGGAGCAGATCAGGGCGACATTAAGATTTTCAAAGCTCATTCAACTATTTTAAGAGCAAGGTCTTCATATTTTAAAGTGGCTTTGTCGAATAATTGGATTAAAAGATCTGAAGACGGTATAATCTTATTTGAAAAGGAAAATATTTCTCCAAAAATATTCGAAGTTCTTTTAACGTGAGATTGATATTTAAATATTAGAATATAATTTTTTTTTTAAAAAAAGAAAAAATTTAATTTTATAATTTTATATTTTTTTTTTATTTTTTTCAAAAGTTATATTTATAATGGGGTTATTAATATAGATGATCTGGACTCATATGAAATCTTTAAACTCATAGAAGCATGCGATGAATTAAACTTTACCGAGTTGATTGATTACTTACAAAGTCATTTAATCATCGAGAAAAAAGAATGGATCCAGCAAAATTTAATTTATGTTTATAAAAATTCATCAAAAAATCATTTATCGTTCAGTTTACTTCTAGAACATTGTGATAAATTAATTTGTAAGATTCCGGAATTATTTTTTAAATCGAATGATTTTGAGTATATTGAAAACACTATGCTTACGAATATACTGGAAAAAGACGCTTTAAAAGAATATGAAATTGTTATCTGGGATTATGTCATCCAATGGGGAATAAGGCAGGTTGAAAGGTTGGTAGGGGGTGAAAGTGAAGGTGAAGGAAATATAATCGAGTCAGGCCAGTTCTTACCAAAACATAAAAAACCCAAATTCCAACTAAAAGAAAACATTTCGGAATGGAATCAAGACAACATAACTGAACTCAAAAAAATCTTAGAAGATGTCATACCACATATAAGATTTAATGAAATATCTAGAGTGGAGTTTTATAATAAAATTATACCATATAAAAAAGCATTTAATAAAGACACATACAACGAACTTATTCGATATTATTTTACTGATATATGGCCACCAAGCCTAATGCTTCAAAAAGGCCCAAGACCAAAACAAAGGAAACTGTTAAATTTAAAAATGGAGTTTTTAATTTCAAGTTGGATCGATGAAAAAAATAATACAATGAATTCGCCTTACAAGTTCGAATTAATTTTTCAGGGGGCTCGAGACGGATACTCTAGGTTAGCTTTTGAGGACAGGTGTCATAATGTTGAACGAACTATAGCTATCATAAAAATTAAAGATACTGGCGAATTGGTTGGTAGTTATAATCCAGTTTGTTGGAACATCAAAGAGAAATCTCCAGATACAACCTATTATATTGAAACAAATAAAAGTTTTATATTTAAAATTGATGGCAACGACGTAAAACTTAGTAGAGTCAGCCGCCCTAAAATAGCAATAATACATATCCAACGCAGAAACCCTAATTTTAGAGTAGATGGCGGCATAGAATTTCGTGATAGTTTGATAGGTTTTGGTAATTTAAGAATATCCAACAGCGTTGATGATGTGCCTTATTGTTATTATCAAAGTTTTTTTATGGAGAATGCGTATAAAGATTTGAACCTTAGATGTTTTAAGAAGGCACATATTCATTTAATAGAAGATTTTGAAATTTATAAATTAGTAAAGAATTAAATTAATTATTTTTTTCTAGAATTAGAAATTTCTTCGATTTTTATTTCATTCACACCATTTATATCTTGATGCAGATCATTTGCCCAATTAAAGTTTTTTGTCGTTACAACCCAAGATTAAATTAGCCAATCAAAAGGAATTTTGCACTCAAACACCCCTCATATTCGACTTTTGTCATATTAATATTAATATTAATATGATGTATATAATTTATTTTTCTTCATATTAGTTACTAATTTGTAAAAAGTTTGTTTTTTAAAACAAAGAAATATTTTTTTTTGTTTGGGTCTTTTTGCGCGGAACCAATGATAAGAATCAATTTGTTAATTTCGCGTAACATGTAAAAAAGTTATTCCCACACAAAAACTAGTTATAAATAAACCTAAAAGTTGGTTCACATTTTTTTTTTGGTTATTTTTTTGATTTTTATCCCCCCCCAAAAAAAAAAAATCTTGTTAAATCGATTTTAACAAACTCTTCTCGTTCCTTTTTTCACCCTCACTCACTCGTCCACTCGCTCGATCATTTCATTTGTTCCTTTATATGCACCGTTTATATATATATATAAAATCAACCTTTTACATCTTCCCAAATGTTTATAAATGATGCAATATTTGGTAATTCAAGAATCGAGCCCTGGTGGTTTCGTTTCTTGAGAAAAATATCAGCAATATTTTGTATTATAGTGATTTTATTTCATGCATCTTACCAAGTAAGCTATCTAATGGATTTTATTAATACTCCACAAATCTTAATAACCGAGTCAAGAAATCCTAAAATAATTACAGGTAAAATATTTACTATTTGATTGATTGATTTCTCGATTTGTTAATTACTGACCTTTTTTCTTTGATTCTATCACACACACACACACACACACACATATATATTAAATAGGGCTAAGATTATGTCCAGGATATATTGGAGTGAGTGAGGGCGATGTTGATTCCAACACAATTAATACAGGTGGTCGAAAATTATTTGATTTTACGGTGGAAGGCAAGTTTGTCAAGTCTTATGGCGCGGAATATTTGGATGGTGATATCGAGAGTGCCAAGAACAATAATATAATATCAATTAAAAATTATAATTCGTCGAGTTTTAAAAAAGATCGTAACAATTGTTTGATATTCAGACCGGAGGATAGTATGAATTATGAATATAATCAAGATGATCCATCTAAAATAATCAAATCTTTCCTTAAATTTAACATCAAGCCGTCTTCGTCAAATTCAGCACCAGCTCCACCATTTTTTTCCGTGAACATCGATAAACTCAATGTTAACAACCTTATTTATAGATTGACAAAACACTCAACAACAGAACTTGATGACAACGAACCATCTTTACAATATAATGTAAATACCATACTGAAAAATCAAAAAACTATCCTAGAATATTATACTATTATCCATAAAAGATTTTCAACAACTCTATTGGGTCAAATAGGGAGCACCAAACCTAATAGACTTTCATTGGAAGTTAAAACAAATTCAATCAGTCTACCATTATCCTCCTCGGCATCGAATAATGACCTAACCGAATTTATATTGTTGCCTTCACAGTTTCTTCGATTTGAAAATGAAAAATACGAATACCAAGGTGAATTTATTTTTCAACTATTGCTATTTAATCAATTTAATTAATTGCTAATAAAGTAATCACTAATTTTTTAGCCGGATCGATGATTTCAAATCTTGGTGGTTTCTATGGCGCAATCGTCGCATTATATGTATCTTGTTTCGGAATGTCTAAAATTCAACCTTGGTAAAAATTATCTTAATCTTAAATTATTAACCTCAAATTAAAATTAAAGATTACTAATCCAACAACACATATTTATTGTTATATTAGGGGAGTATTCCAAAGAGCAATATTTCGCTGCCACCCATGTCGCAGATCTTTCAAAAAACATTTAGCAAAACGTTACATTAGTTTGGCCGGAATACCATTAGGTGAAGAGATTGACGACAGGCCGCAAAATGCGAGTTTAGAAGATAGATTACAAATATTGGAATACCTATTAAAAGATTATTATCTGGATAGTTATTATCTAGAGAAATTGAAACAAACAAAATTGAAATATGATAAGGCTGAACAAAAATTTACAGAGTTAGAAGAATTGTATGAGAAACAAGCATGTTTAAATAATGTTGGTGATGAGGATGAAGATGACGAGAATAATACACGGAACAATGGAAGAAGAAGATGTGGTTTATGGCAAGGCCTTTATAGGGTTAGTTTTAATAACGATAATCAAAGTGATAATAATATTGAAGAAGCTGGTGGCGGTGACGGTGGTAATGAATTTGAAAAAATTGGGATTACACTTGAAAAATAATCAATAATAATCTTGTTCATTTGTAATTTATACACAAATAGAAAAACTTTTTTTTCCTAAAACATAATTCCAATCATACACATCCTTTAGATTCATTCATTGCATTACAATTTCATCATTCTTGTATTCATAATTTTATTGCATTCATCATAATTTGCATTCATTTTCGTTTATCAATTTAAAACCAAAATTCAACACAAAAGACATTTTAACGATTATATTTAAAAGTTTTAATTATAAATGACACTTGTAGATATTAAAAGTCATTCATTTCAATAAATATAACAATTTTCTGATTGAAAATCGCACTCTCTCTTTACCTGATAAAGTTTTGATAGTAATAGGGGTAAATTTTGCGTAACCTATATTTCTAACATTTTTTTCTAATCATGTCATCATCAATTTCACCTAACGGTAAAGCCATTATACTTCCGGATAGAGCCCAACCTTTAGCAAATTATCCACATGCAAGAATTGCAGGTGACTTCATATTTATATCTGGAATTTCTTCACGTAAACCTGACAACACGTTAGTATTATAGCTAGTAAAATTATATACATGATTCTTTTTATTCCTGAAAAAGAATAAGATTTATACTTCTAATTAATCAATTAACCAACACTTAAAAGATATGATGGTGTAAGTTTACTATAAACATAAATTGTATTAGTGTAATTTATCATCATCATCTTCTTTTTTATCATCATGATTAATGAATATATTATTTGGTAAAAGGTGATTGAATTACCGGATGGATCGTTCGAATTGGACATTCGTAAACAAACTGAAGCCGTCATTGAAAATATTGGAGTGATATTGAATCAAGCGGGTGGAGCTTCGTTAAGTAACCTGATTGATTTGACGGTGTTTCTAGTGAACATGCAAGATTATCATGGGTTCAATGAAGTTTACAATCAATATTTTGATCAGATTAATGGACCTTCTAGAACAACTGTTGCTGTTTTTAAATTACCTTCGGTAAGTTTTTCAAATAAAAAAACTTGTTGATTGGGGTGTAATTTATAATAATTAATGTTGATATATCTCATGTTTTATAGCCCAAATTACTAATTGAGATTAAAGGTACCGCTTTATTACCAAAATAATCGATTAGGCATATTATTATTATATAAATTATATGATTCTATCCCAAAGGAAAAGAATTTACATTAAATATTATTATTATTATTATTGGTAAATTATTAATTACCAAAAATCTTTATTCTTACTCTAAAAAAATAAGCGTCGTTCAAAATTTAATTATTTATAATATAATATAATATAATATAACATAACACCTTTATACATATATATAATGAATGGAGAAATTAAATATTATAAATATATATATATATATATCTATATATACGTTCGTGGAAAAAAATCTATTATGTAAAAATAAAATTCTTTTTCTCTTATTTGTATAGTATATAAAATATTTAAATCCATCTATATCATATTTTTGAATAGAAGGGATTAATTATTGTTTCAGTGAAAAAGTTTTTTATATTTATTTAATTACGTTGTCTCCTAGAACGTCTTGTACCATTACCATTATTATTATTTGAAAAACTATCCCAAAAAATTTTTAAAGGTTCTCTACTTATCGTTGCCACTAAAAAAAAAATTTTTAAAAAGCAAAAAGTAAAAATCAATAACTGATTAATTGATTTTCACCCTTCTAGAAACAATTATTCTCTTTACCATAATAAACGCCTTGATTGTTAGTCCAACTAACCGACCCAGATTTATAATAATGCTCTTCTACATTTGTTAATATGGATTCAACAGCGTTGGCTGTCCTACCATTAATTCGTTTATTGCTTGATACAAAACTTTTCAATGAGATGATTTTTGCACCATTCTTGCAATTTAAGAACAAATTTAATAGTTGTTGGTTAAGCATTGGACTAAACATAAAATTGTTTGCTAATAGTACGTCTGCTTGTTCTATATCTTTTAAGGTGTCCATGTCATTTAAAAAGTCCCCTTTTCTAATAACAATATCTCCATATTCTAATCCATAATAACTAATGTACAAGGTTTAATAAATAAATAAATAAAGTCATTCATTCAAATATTCATTGTAACATATAACATTGATTTTTTTATCCCATTAAATAAATATTGATACTAACTTTGCACGAGCTTTAAATTCAGCTAAATGTTTCATTGAAAGTGCACTTGGATTATCCGCTGTTTCTATTCCGATTGATGTACAACCTGTTTGAGCTGCAACTTGTAAAACTACATTACCAACTCCACATCCCAGATCAATAAATAAAGAATCTTTCTTTATACAAGTTTTTTTAATCATGTCATTAATCAATTGAGGCTGAAGCTCTCCATATACATTACTAGAAAATGCTTTTATATCAAAAATAACATACACATATACATATATCTATTAATATAAACCGTCACGTATTTATAATAGAAATAGGAAATGAATGGATGGATACCTTTGTAGTGTTTCAGACTATCAACTTCAGGCCCGACGGCTCTACTATAGACCTGTGTTAGTATTTGTTTAACTAAATTAAAAGAAGTAGATGCTGATGATGATGATGACGATGACGATGATGATGATGATGATTCTCTTCCTTCAATCTTTTTCTTTTTTTTTTTCCTCTTCAACAGATCTTCTTTTTTTAATTGTTTGAGTGTTTTATTAAAATCCTCAACTGCTTTAATAAATTGTACACCATCTTTACGATTTCGATATTTGGTTAATCGTCTAAATATCCCATCCTTGTCAAGCTCATCATCCTCCAAAACCCCAAATCTTCTTGCTACTTCCTCTGGAAGCAGTTCTTTAACGATTAGTGTTATTGTGTCAAACAGATCTTCCATTGGTTGATATTCATCATCTTGATCTGTTTTAACTAATGCAAACCTATTGTATATAAGATCCATACATAACAAATGAATAAATAAACAAATACAAAGAAAAAAAATCTAGCTTGATCTATTTCATTTATTAATTTATTTATTTTTTACCATTCTTTAATATCTGATCCTGGGTATTCCAATTCAACCCTATGGAATGGATTCTCGTCATTTACCTCTAATAAAGGATCTTCTGGAAAAACTTTTTTTTTTAAATAATTATTAAAAGTTTAAAATGTATAGGAGAGCAGGAGGGAGAAATAGAAACAAAAATACATAAATATATCTAAACATATAAATATACATACAATTATGATAAAGTTTTGTTAATTGTAATACCACTTGCTCAGAATGAATGATTTGCAAGCTCTCCTCTTCGATATCAATTTTTTTTCTTTTTTGACCATTATTAAGGGTAGATTCCATAATAAACACATAAAAATATATATTAATATGTATTGTTGTTTTTAAACAATATAAAATTTTCTATACCGAATTAATTTTTCGATGGTCGAACAAATAAGGAAAGGTGTATGACAGATCACGTGGAAAATTTTCAAAGCCCTAAATTTAGGACCATGTGGCAGTCACATCAGTTGATAATAATAATAAAAATTCGAATCGTGTAACAAACATCATTTATTATGTTGTTCAAAAAAAAAACAGCATTTCAAAACTAGATTTTTATTTAACAAACTTGATGAGTGGTCGAGAAGATGTAAAATATCATAAACTGAGTGTTGGTATGTCTTTAATATTAGGGGATTAAAGTAAAGTTTAGAGAAAATTCCAAATGTGGTAAAATAAGGTGTGATGCATAAATCACATGATGTCCTTTAATTAGTGAGGTTGAACCCGTATTTTTATAATATATAAATTAATTGACATTTCTCTCATTCATATAATAAAAAAGATGATTTGGGGAAACTGTATCATTTATATTTTTTAATTCTTAATAATGAATTAAACAAAAAAGTAAAAAAATATAATATGTACAGATTTAATATATAGTAACATTATTATGTGAAGGAATTCTGCTACTGTTTGCGCGGTCTAAAGATTCCTGTTGCTGCGCCATATGCTCAAAAATAGCGATTTCGTGATTCATTCAAAAAATTTTAAAGGTATTTCCAAAAATGGACTTTATGTGAGTTTGGTGTAATAAAAATAAAAATAAATGAAAACATGCTATTCTCTCGATATATTAAATTCGTTATTAAATGTTGGATAGCTATGATAACAGTGTAAAATCAAAAACAAAAAAGTCATTAAAATAGATCGTCTTGCTAATTAACCATATTTTCCTTACTGCCAAATTTAGAAATGATTATTTCAAACTTATCCTAGTGCTCGAATTCCTCGTGAACATAGTAATAGTAATAGCAATAGTAAAATACATGTACTAAAAAAAGAATAAAACTCTGCAACAAATAATTTTTTTTGAGAAAATATTTTCATCATATTAAAACTAGAGACTATTCTATCAACCAATGAAGCTATTTTTTAAAAATGTAGGACAGAAAGTGACTTTTACACTTTTAAAATTTGTGCAAAATTTAGACCGAGCCAACTATATCAATATTAAATTTGTAGATCTTATTTTAAAAACCAAAAATGCATGAAATTATTACTATCGATTCCAAAGATTCTGGTAAACGTTTAGAAAAGTTTGTATGTGATAATTTTCGTAGTTTAGTACTTTCGAAACACCTTTGTAAACAGTGTATTAAACGTGGTGAAATACTTGTTAATGAAAAACCAGTTGAAGCTTCTCGTTTACTTAAAAAGGGTGACAAGGTACAATTAAAAATAAATGAAAGTGCATTACAAAAAGATAGACTTAAATTATCTGTAAATATAAATTTTGAAGACGAATATCTTGCTGTCATTATTAAAGAGCCAGGTGTGGTGATGGTCTTTGATTATTTTTACGAGATTATATATATTAAAGTCTATTAATCCGATTTTATTTATTTTAAAGGTATTCATATGCATGGCTTACATAAAAGTTTACCATTTATACTAGACAACCAAAATGTATTGTTGAGAGATTATAAGTGCATAAATCAATTGCAACGAGCTATTACTGGTTTAGTATGTATTTATGACACATACATAATATATGTACTTGTACTTATTCACTAATTAATTTTTTGTTCATATTTTCATATAACGAACAAAAAGGTTATTGTTTCTAAAACAAAAGAAGTAACAGATAAACTTGCTAATATGTTAAAAGATGGCACTATTAAACAGAGTTATCGAATAATATGTCATGGCAAATATGATTCACAAAGGGTACATTCTTCCTCAACAACAACAACAACAACAATATCAGTGCCACCGCCACCATTTACAATACAAACGATAGAAGTTACTCGAAGCTCATCAAGCGAAGAAAAATATATATCAACTTTAAATATTATAATAGATGATCGAAAAGTTGGATCTAATTATATAAGTATTAGAGAATATTTCATGAAAATTGGCCATCCAATCGTTGGATCAAATTCTTATTCAAAGCAATTAAAGTCATGTAAAGATAAAGGAATGATGATGGCATTATTAGAAGTGTCATTTTTACATCCTGTTATAAGCCAGAAAGAAATAAAAATCACTATTCCTGAGCCGACAAAACTTCAAGTAAATATTCTATAAAATTTATCTCTCTGGAAAAAAAAATTTTTTATAATAAAAGTTCATTATTTATTTATTTATTATAAATTTAGAAAATAAGGCAACGTGAAACACAATTTTATGAAAAGAAACAAGAGAAAAAAATTTCTGAATTGAATCGGTATGGAATTACAGAACCTATTGATAACTTGAAAGAAATACCTGTTGCCTATATTACAGGAGAAAAGGTAATTTCAACCAATCTTTTGTTTGTTTGTTTTTGATTTTGATTTTTTTCTAAAAAAAAATTATATTTTTTTAGGAATTTTTTAAATTGAGATTCTCAATAACCAAAGATGTTATGATCCCAAGACCTTCAACAGAATTCCTTGTTCAAACTGCACTGGAACTACACCATCGTCATCATCGTAAGAGCAATAGTAATGATACAAATCCTTTTTCCAAGTCATTTTCAATAATTGATGTTGGAACAGGATCAGGATGTATTTTAATTTCAATATTGCACTCGATCATATCATCTTCAGATAATCAACAAGAGGAAAGAGAAGAAATATATGGTTTAGGAGTAGATATTAATTTAAATGTTTTAAATGTTGCTAAAGAAAATTCCAAAAAACTATTAAATCCTTTAATTGATAATAGCAAAACTAGCATCATGTTGGAATATGATTTTCAACAATTGGATTTACAATATTTGCATGAAAACTCGACATTATTTAATAAAAAATTTAATTTATTAGTTTGCAATCCACCATATCTTGATATCTCACGACCTCTCTCTAGTGATGACGATCGTTGTCTAGAACCATCTGAAGCTTTATTTGCAGAAGAATCAGGATTTAAAATGTATCGACTACTTCATCAATCTATAGAACTGTCATTTGAAAAAAATATTTTCTATGATGGAACTTTTTTGGTTTTGGAGGTTGGTATTAAAATGGCTAAAAATGTGAAAGAAATATTCAAAGGATGGAAATGTATAAAAGTTGTAAAAGATAAACAAGGAACTGAAAGATGCTTGGTATTTTCTAGAAATAGTTAAGTAATTTTTCTTTAATTGACTTAAAACATTTTGTTCATAATACTTTTTGCTGCACATGAGCGTTCCAAATATATCAAATATCAATAAAAAATTTGTTGTAGCTCGTTTTAGTTGTCACGTGAAACCAATAATAATAATGCAAAACGATCCAGTGAAATGTCGATCCTTTTATTATAGAATGATCTGCAAAAACCACGCTAACAGAATCATTTTTTGGCGGAGAGAAATTTCCCAAAGTAGTCTATTTGAAACTACTAAAGGAAATGCTGAAGAAGGTGGATTCTTTAAAACTTAATATAGGCGATTATCTCTGTACAAAATGCTTGATTCATTATCATTACAATTTAAGCTCAAGTTTAATTTGCCTTCCCCATCACATGATAAATTTATAAAATGGATATTTTTTTTGAACTCTTTCTCTCACATGAAGTATTCATGGTGTTATTTTGCTTTTTCTTAAAGTTTCGGAGTTTCGAAATGATTTCGAAGTTTTAAAATAGTTTCAAAGTTTCAGGGTAGTTTGCAGTTTTAAAAACAGTATCTGAGTTTCAATTTTTGAAATAGTTTCGAAGTTTGAAATTTTGAAATAATAGTTTTTTTGTATAGTAATAAAAGTTTTTCTTAAAACTTGCATTTAATAAAAATAAATTCAGATGAAAATTCAACTTTCATGGAAATTGGTTTGATTTGCTTCACGTTGGTGGCATGAAGCAATTGACATCTAAAAATGCGTCATATACATAACAAAATAACCAAGGACATGATAATTCACCTGTATATCAATCTTCTATTAATAAATTTATTGGAAATTCAAATGACATTACAATTCTGTTAATACTGTTTATGATCGATATTTTCAGATCAAGATTGAAAGGTCAATATTTTTTGAAATGGCTAATAATGATCAGCTAAATAGAATGTTACCTTTCCCCTTTTCATTATCAAAGAAGATAAGTCTAAAATGTTTGCCTCATATGACATAACAGGGCCTTCTGATGATATCATATTACATTTGTAGAAAGGTTTAGGCATGAATTTGTTATATTTCCACAATTTTATATCAATAATCTATCCCATGAAATTTATATTCATTAAAAACTGGAGAATTACTATATGAACATCAAAATCCTAATGTAAATGTGTTATGGACTATTTCAAATGTATCCTGATAGATGATTATTCTTATTAGTCAGTGTAGAAATGAAACAAATGATTGAAAAACAATTATTTTCTAGTGCCTGATAGTTTTGATAAAATTTCTACAGAAAAGATTTTACATTATCAGTAATAATTTGCTATATATATAAATTTTAATATTATTAAAAAAATGACAAATTTTGAAACAAACAGAAATAATGAATATTTGTCCAAAGTTAATTGCGGCCGATTTAGCTTTTTTCTGATGTTGGATCAAATTCAGATTCAAATACACAGCTAAATTTAAATAGAGAGCTAGATTCTAGTGCAAAATTTTTTTGAAAAAAGTATTGAAGATGCTATTGGTTCTGGTAAAAGAGGGCTTGATAGGCAACAAAGGATATTATCAATTATTAGCAATGACTTGAGCGCTGTTGCTAGAAAACATGCACGAATTTATGGAGAAGGTATTTTATTGATTGGATGTGTTTTTATCCCCCTTCCACTGTTTTCATATTGCTGTCTTCATTTTATAATCATAATTATCGTCGTTTTTATATACATCTTTTCATGTGTCGTTATGTCACGCGATCAACTGTAGCTATGTAAATTTTCGTGGAACATTTTCTTAATCGAAGGAATTAATAAAAGTAAAAAAAAAAGGAAAAATGAAATCTGAATATAAAGTAAAAAATGATCAAACGATATCTTTACCGTCGATTGCTATCATGTTTCATGTTTATAATTTGGTAATTTAAAGATAATCAAGTTCTTAAGTTTGTATGTATATAATATGCATGTTTCTTTTATTGATTCTTATTGATTATTTGTCAAAGGCACAAAGTAGACCAGTGATGACCGATGAAAATGCGGTTGACTATTTGGAAAGATTACAAAAAGTTCTAGTAAATATATCTTTATAATCTTTTATACTTTTTGTTAAATAATATCAATTTCATTGATAATCGATAATTGATTTTTTTATAATAGAAAGTTTTTGATCATGCGCTTTATGTGGAATTATGGGTTGCTGCTTTAACCGGTTTAGCTGAACAACGAAATAATAAACATTCACCTAATCATATTTTATTATGGACAAGTTTTGTTTTGGTCAAAGTAATTAATTAATTAACATCAGAATTCGGGTTTTTATTACTATATTTTAATCTTGTTGACTTGATTCTAGCTTCCTGCTTTAATAGAAAAATTGGAGGAAAGAAAAAAATTGAAAATATTAGAAAAAGAAATTTTATATGAAGAAATCAAAGTAAGTTAAATCTTATATTTTACTTTTGATGAATTTATTAAATAATATATTTATATGATTTATATGATTTATATATAGTATAATCGACATGAATGTGTGATTAATCAATTATTTGGATATCGAGGATTAATTAGTGCTTGTAATCAACGCGTAGAGGGAATTGTAGATGGTATTTTTCAGTAAGTCATATATATATATAGTACTGAAAAAGTATTCATTTATGCTAGCCATTGTATTATAAACCATGTTAAAATTCTCATTAAAACTTCTAAAATATTTAGATCTGGTGATGCTGATATTTCAGTTGATATCTTGCAAGTATGTCTAAAACGTAATTTTGTAAGAAAAGAATTTGTATTAAGATTGTTCGAAGATCGATCTACAGAATTGGAATGGGGCGATGAAAATGTTATGGTGGTTTGTAAATTAAAAAAATTTATTTGCATAAATATTTTCTAAATTAAAATAAACGAATTAGAATGAATTAACAATATTTTTTAATAGGATACTGCTGCTGCTACAGCCAACACATTAGAACTGCCCAGTAATGACATGATTGATTACTTAATTTCAACTGCCCAAACAGGTTTTTTACATCAAGAATCTAGAGTAGAGACAATATTAAGTGTGAATATCAAGTGTAATTAATATAATTAACAATCAATATATAATATACTTGTAAGTTTGTTTTATAATATATAAAAGTATTTTTATAAATAATATATTAGGTGATAACAACATGGTGTGGGAAAAATGAATTGCAACCTTTAGCAATTCTTTGTCGGTCACTTCTTGAAAATCCTAGACTTCTTGATATAATTCATTTATATAGACATCCATATGATTTTCTGGGACCAATAGAAAGGTTATGTAATGATTGGAAAAAAGAAAATACAAATGATAGTTTCGGTAAATGTATTGATAATATATAAATAAATAAATAAAACATATTACGTATTGAATTTTTATTTATGATTAATATTTTTATTATTTAAGATTCATATAAACAGGATTACGAGAATTTTGGAATTATCTTTATATTATTAGTTACCACGATAGAAAGATATGAGGTAAATGAATGATTTAATGGGGGAAATCAAAATCATATCATCAGTTAATTAAAAAAAAATTTTTTTTGGATAAATAAAAATATAGTTTCATAAAAATATTAAAGGTGTATTACATGATGAACTTGGATTTTGTCATACATGGCTTCTTCGTTCATCTGTCACATATGAATTAAAACTGTTAAATCATTCAAAAGCTACTACTGTAAAACAATGGACAAATGCAATGATAAATGATCAAAATATTTCTGAGAATTTGATAAGGTAATTTAATAATTTTCGTCTCCCTATATATATATATGTTTATATAAAATCTCAATAAATTATTGATACATATATACATACATATGTTGAATATATAGAACAACTAATCCAAGAGCTTTAATTGAATTGTTACCAACAATATTTAAGCAAACACTTGCTGAAATCAGTTCCAATAATGGTGAAACTACAACTATAACCGATGATGATGCTATGGATATTTCCTCTACCAATACAACGGCTGTTACTATTGATACTTTAATACCTATATTCAAAAAATTTTTAAGACCTCATTTATCATATGCATTTATTGGTGTAGTTCAATGGTTATGTGATGATATTTTCTTTTCAGTGTAAGATTAAATATTTAAATATGAATTTTTATTTATTTATTTTTAAAAGGTTATTTATGTATTTACAATTACATTATAGAAACTCACAAAATTCGATGAAACTTTTAAAAGCCTTAATTTTAGACGACAATTTTCCAAAAAAAATATTAAAATTAATAGAACCAAAAATCATCGCATTAATCAATTATATAAATGATATTAATAATAATATCAATAATATTGGTAATAAAAATCTTATATTATTACCAGTACTTGATCCAGAAATGGAAAAAATCAAATTAAAAATAAAGGATAATAATAGTGGAAAAGGTAAATATCTTATTCGTGTATATATATATATATATATATATGAAAAATTAATGTATAAATTTATAAAAAAATTTGCTTTTTAAAAAAAGCGAGAAAGTCTACAAAACATCCTACAGAAACATTATTTCCAAGATTTCTTATTGTATTTGAATCAGTTGTCCGTGGTGGCAGGCAACATAAAAAAACCTTGGGAAGCTTTAAATATGATTATGATTATGATTCAAAAATATTTGAAATGTCGACAAATTTAGAATGGTGGGGACCTCATCATTTAGATATTGGGTTGTTTAGAGCTTGTTTAGAAAATATTGGTCCAAAGATATTTGTAGATTCAATAATTGAAGTAGGCTATCTCATTTAATATTATTGATATTGTTTTTTTTTTTAAAAAAAAAATTAATTGGCTGATTCATATTTTTTTTAAAAAAAATAAATTCAATAGGGTGTGTTGGTAGCAAGTCTAAGTGGAATGGGCTCACGTGCAGGTATTTTTCTAGAACCTTTTTACATTATATTATTGTGTTTGTTTATTTTTTTATTATATTTTTTTAACGTTAAAAATTTTATAATAAAAGCTGAATTAGGAGCGTCATTATTAACACAACCATTATGTTATACGTGGAATAAACAATTACAGTCAACAAATCTTTTGCACATATTTTTTACAAAAGTATTGTCCAATGTGCTAAGTAAAAAATCACTAATTTATACACAGTTTTTTGCATTGGGTTTATTAACATTATATATAATTATACTCTACAACGAAGATAATAAGATTTATCAAGATTTTATTAAAAATATTTTATCAAAATTTCAAGATCAGTCAATTGCCGAAAAAATCAAGAAAAACTCGATAATAGGAAAGAACAACAACATAAATGCTACAGCCATTAACGACAGCATTAATAGTATTAATATGAGCATTAGTAGTATTGATATTAGTAATACTAGTATTAGTAATAGTAATTTTAAAAATAGTAATAGTAATAATAATAATAACTTAATGAATGGGCCTACAAGAGGCTTTATTGATGGATTAATTTCCAATAAAGAAATAATTAACATAGTTCCAGAATTAATAACTTTATAAATACGAATATTAAGCACAAAATAAAAAATACACCTTTTATCATTAATTTTTTACTGTCTGCTACGCCTCGATGAAGATTCATGTGTTGTGAATGAGTGTAGATTATCACGTTTTCTCTATATAGATTTAAAAAAAATAGATTATTATAAGGGGGTGCCCAAAATGACATCATTTCTCATACCCCTCCTATGCCTGTATCACAAAGGTTTGATAAAATGAAACCGAATTTTATTGGATCATATTAAGTGTAACGTCGAAAGCTCCCAACCCCCCTCCCAAAACTGAATGACGTCATTTTGGGTACCCCCCTAAAATGTTTGTTAATGTTTGATATCTGCCGATCAATGATCGTGAAAATTTTGATTTTTGATTTTGAATTGGTAATGTGTATTACCAAAAAAAAATAATATAAAAGAGTATGGTTAATTTTAATTTTTTTCTTTAAATTCTTTTCTCCCACTCTTCATTTTCACGAAGAAGAACAATAAAGGGTAAATTCATTGAAATTTTCATGATTAATCAATCATTTAAAAATAAATTTTTAATTAAATTTATAAATCGATTATTCATAAAATTACTTGTATATAATAAATCTGCAGATTTTTTAAATATTTTTGTATAATTGCAAAAATTTCTTATTAACTATTCACGAATATAATAATGTAAGATAAAATTCTGTCAATAATTTTATCTATAAATTCATTAATTTAGTAAGCTTTAAAAAATAATCATTAAAAATTTTTTTCTCGCTATTTTTTTTTTTAAAGTAATAATGGCCGAAGGACTCCGTTTTGATGGACGTACAGTTATTGTAACAGGAGCTGGTGGTGGTGAGTAAAAATATTATTTAGTGTTTATATATGCGAGAATGAAGGATTCGATTCAAACAATTTTTTTTTGAATGATCAGATGTATATATATAAAATATAGTAGAAAATTTTTTTCTTTAAATAAATTCATTGTTTCATTCAAGAATATTTACAATTTAATTTATTGCTCTTCAAATAATAATAGGTTTGGGGCGTGCTTATGCACTTGCATTTGCGTCACGTGGTGCCAATGTTGTGGTAAACGATCTTGGTGTTTCCAGAGGTGGCGATGGATCTTCTACAGCAGCTGCAGATAAGGTGGTTGATGAAATTATTAGCATTGGTGGTAAAGCGGTTGCGAATTATAATTCAGTAGAAGACGGTGATAAAATTGTGGAAACTGCACTAAAAGCATTTGGTCGTGTTGATATTGTAATAAACAATGCAGGGTAAATAATCATTATAATTAAGAGTGTGATTTGTTATTTGTTGTTGTAAATTTAAACTTAATTTTTACTTGTAGGATTCTTCGTGATAAATCATTTGCACGAATGAATGATTCAGACTGGGATCTTGTTCAAGCAATCCATGTTCGCGGCTCATATAAAGTAACCAAAGCAGCTTGGGATGTTTTCCGGAAACAAAAATTTGGAAGAATCATAAATACTGCCTCAGCCGCAGGTATTTATGGAAACTTCGGTCAAGCCAATTATAGTTCAGGTATCTTCATTTTCCATTATTTTAATTAGTCAATAAAGCTAAGTTTTTTAAAAAAATTATATAATAACTTGTTACGTTATGTTTATTAGCCAAACTTGGATTGGTCAGTTTTACTTCAACACTTGCTAAGGAGGGTGAAAAATCAAATATTCATGCAAATTGTATTGCACCGATTGCGGCATCAAGAATGACCGAGTCAGTAATGCCACCAGATGTCCTTGCATCTCTCAAACCTGATTATATTGCTCCATTAGTTTTATATTTGTGTCATGAATCAACTCAAGAAAATGGAAGTTTATTCGAACTTGGTGCTGGCTTTGTAGCTAAATTGAGGTGGCAACGATCAAAAGGCGCTATTTTCAAAGCTGATGAAACATTCTTACCTGGCGCTGTACTGGCAAAATGGCCTGAAATCACAGATTTTTCAGAACCTGACTACCCTGCCACGATAAGTGATAAAGATTTTTATAGTGCGCTGGAGATAGCAAAAAATTTGCCCTCTAATCCTAAATCAGAAGATCTAAAATTTGATGGCAAGGTTGCTGTTGTTACTGGAGCAGGAGGTGGGCTAGGTCGTGCATATGCTATTTTGTTGGGCAAACTTGGTGCATCAGTTGTAGTTAATGACATTGGAGTTAGCACACATGGCCAAGGAACTCCTAATAAGGCTGCAGACGAAGTAGTTCAAGAGATTATAAATGCGGGTGGTAAAGCTGTTGCCAACTATGATTCAGTTGAAGATGGTGATAAAGTGGTTGAAACAGCCATAAAAGCATTTGGGCGTGTAGACATCATAGTTAATAATGCTGGTATATTGAGAGACAAATCATTTGCCAGAATGACAGATCAAGATTGGGATTTAGTACAGAGAGTCCATCTACGAGGAACCTATAAAGTAACGAAAGCTGCATGGCCTTACTTTACCAGACAAAAATATGGTCGTATTATAAATACAGCTTCGTCGGTTGGTCTTTATGGTAATTTTGGTCAAGCTAATTATAGTACAGGTTAGTAGTAATTCTGATATCAAAAAAAATAAAGTTTTCTTTTAAGCAAACAAGAATGACATTTGAGAGATACTTATTTTTGTATAATTTTTTATAGCAAAACTTGCAATATTAGGCCTCAGTAATACTTTAGCATTGGAGGGCAGAAAAAATAATATCCTTGTTAATACTATTGCACCTAATGCAGGAACAAGAATGACTGCAACCATATGGCCACCTGAAATGGTTGAAGCATTTAAATCAGAATATGTTGCACCTTTTGTTGGTTTTCTTGCACATGAATTATGTCCTTCAACTGGAAATGTTTTTGAAGTTGGTGGTGGTTGGGTAGCTCAAGTGCAATGGCAACGTGCAGGTGGTATTGGATTTTCAACATCTAAACCACTTCTACCAGAAGATATTGCATCAAAATGGGACGTCATCACAAACTTTGATGATGGGCGTGCAACAAACCCAAAAACAACACAAGAAGCACTTCAGCAATTCTTTGAAAACTTTGAAAATGCTAAAGCTTCTGAAGATAAACAAGAACAAAAACCATCCAAGGGTAAAATTGATGTCGAGGCTGCAAAAAGTCATAAATTTGAACCTAATGTATTCGAATATACAGACAGAGATGTTAAACTTTATGCGTTGGGTGTTGGTGCTAAACGTACTGATTTGAATTGGGTATTCGAGGGTGATGAGAGATTTGCTGTTTTACCAACATTTGGTGTTATTGCTGGATTATCTGCTCTACCATTAGATAAACTTCCTGATGTATTGGGCGATTTCAATCTGGTAAATTGGAAAAAAAATTTTAATACCATATATAATTTTTTATCCGATTTATTAGTAATAACAATTATTTTTTCAATATCTTAATTATTAGATGAAACTTCTTCACGGAGAACAATATCTTGAAATTAAGAAGCCAATTCCAATTTCAGGTAAATTAACTTCATTGCCTAGAATTGTGGATATACTTGATAAAGGAAAAGGAGCGACTGTGATTATTGGAGTTGAAACAAAGGATGAAAGTGGAGAAACCGTTTTTGAAAATGAGGCAACATTATTTATAAGAGGGCTAGGAGGATTCGGTGGAAAGAAAAATCGTGAAGCTAAAGGTGCAGCTGTAGATAGTAATACACCACCATCTCGAGCACCAGATAAAATTTTTAAGGAGAAAACTACAGAAGAACAAGCTGCCTTGTATCGATTAAATGGAGATGTATGTATATTGTTATTTTTATTGTCATTACTATTGATGATAATGTTATTGATAATGTTAAAAAAAAACTTTAGTTGAATCCACTTCATATAAGTCCTGACTTTTCACAAATGGGCGGATTTGAAACACCAATTCTTCATGGATTGTGTACATTCGGATTTTCAGCGAGACATGTTTTGAAAGAATTTTGTGACAATGATCCTACCAAACTTCGATCTATTAAAGCAAGGTTTGCATCGCCTGTTTTTCCCGGTGAGACCTTGGAAACCCAAATGTGGAAGACAGGGAATAAAGTTATTTTCCAAACACGCGTTGTTGAAAGAGATGTTATTGCAATTACAGCTGCAGCTGTAGAATTGAATGATGGCGGATTATCTGATCAAGCCAAATCTAAACTCTAAGCAAGTCGTAGATTTATTTCATTCATTAATTTGGTTAGAACTTTAATTAGTATCTCAGGAATGAATTTTATCATAAGTTTCATTTGAGAAGAGAGTTTCGAATTTTAGATATAATACTAATTTTATTTATAATAGTTATTAAAAAAAACATTATTATTATTATTATTAAAATATTTTTTAAAAATTAAATTAGCGACTTTTAATGTGTGTGGTTAAACTTTTTATTTATTTTTTGATTATTCCACAAGCGCGATACACAAAAACCTACAAAAGAACCAAATTCAATCGTGGTAATTTTGTTACTCCAGTTATTTAATAAGATGATCTACCTTTAATTTTATTTTGTATATTGCGAAAAAAAAACCATTTTACAAAAATATATGCAACTGGAAATGATGGTTATAATATTACTAAATAATTTAATAAATTGTCGTTATCTTTATAACAAAGATTCAATTTCAAGTGTTCCAAACTTTCGTACGATTTCTAAAAACGAAGAAAAATTTTTTTTTAATATTAACTATTGTATTATTTATATGTTGATCATTTAAAAATATTATTTTACGTGAGATCCGTATTTAATTGCAGATTGTAAGTTACTAAACAACTTAATTAATTGTCTAATTCACGCGCCTAATGAGGACGTTTTCTGGTGGGGCTTGTCTTATTTCCTCTGGCCGTGGTGAGACAAATTCCGTCGGAAAATTCGTTAGATTATCTATCATCTGTGTCATCCTTTTTCAATAAAGAAAAATATCCTTTTTTTTACAGGATATTAATATCCCTTTCCCTATAGATATTCAAAACAAAACATTTCTTAATTAGTTAATTTGATTAATATATATGTGGGGAAAAAACCAGGATTTCCGTATAAAAAAATATATCAAAAGAAACACGAGAACCAGAAATTTTTATTGGTGATGGATCAGCACCAATATAGTTACCAGAGTTGCTTTTTTTTTGGGTTGATATATATAATTTTTTTTTTTATAAATCAGAACATTTGTCATGTCTTCTAGGTAATTATTATAAGATTCTTCAAGATAATAAATGATTGGAGCATAAGAATTATCAATAGTAAATGGTAATAAACAATTATTACTGTTGAAAATTGAAAGGAAAACTGCACCTATACAATTGGAAAACAATCCAATATGTAATATTTGATCATCAGAAATTGTCAGACTACTTTATCTAAAACATTAAAGCTAACTAGCCTGACTGGTTGAAAAATTGATAAAAATTCAGATGATTCAACATCATGCTCTTCATTTGAATGTAATTTGGCGAGCATCAATGAAGGCCCCATTTTTCGCCCTCATGTCTCTTACACCAGTATTAAACAGATTATATGAGAGATGTGTTGAATGGAGCTTTAAATGACATATTTTCAATGTAAATAATAATAAAAGTCATCAGAAGATCATGATCAATATTGCTGGAACTGAAGATGAAACTGCCTTTTTCGCAGTAGTAGCATATCAACTCTAATGCTAGCAATAAAGCAATGACTAATAACAACCTTATTCTAACAGAAAGATTGCCATCTCCTATCTCACATCACCATTATCAATTCAATTCAACCAAAAAAGCCTTTTAATTCTTTGAATTAAGATCCTAATATTACTATTACTGCTCATTACTACTTTTATGATATTAACAATGCAAATGATAAATCAAAACATTTAAAAGATTCTTCACTATCACCAAAAATAACAACATCCTCATCCTCATACATATTCTCACAGCAACAACAAAAATAGCCAAGCCTACAACACCTGCATTAGTTTTGCTATTTAAAGAACATGGCTTAGACTAGGTATATTTAAATGGTGTAGACAAGAATGATTCTTAAAACAGAAATTACAAAATCTTCCATTGCATCAAATTCAAAATATAGTTGAACTATGAGGAAGATGATAATTCTTTGTTTAATTCAAAAGAGACAGTATCAATAGTATAAAATAATCTTTCAAGTTTTACCAAAAATTTATTAACTCAACTGTAGATGATGATATCAATGGGAGTTTTTTTTATTTAGCTAATATTTGTTGTTGCTATGACGTTGTTGTTATTGTCAATGAGGAGTGATAGATGTTGTTATTGTTGTTGTTGCAACTTCAATTTCAATTTATTTTGGAAGTTCATTAGGGGCAACAACATCAAACTTGTCAAAAATTGATGTAAAAGAATTAATTGAAAATGTTGTTATGTCAGTTTCATTGGCAGCAATAAAATAGTCTAATTATACAGATTAGAAGTTTTGTAAAATTTATAAAGATAAAATAATATCTTAAAAAACAAAGAATTTCATTTAGCCATTTCTTTAGCCAAACTTTAATATTTTATATATTTTAAATTTCAAATTGAATCATAATAATACATGATAAAATAAATAATTTTTGACCTTTTTGTTTTTTTTTATCAGATGATTTAATTGCTTCGTAAGTGATTTGCTGCAACTGTACAAGTTTTATATTAGTAAATTATCCATTCGGATTTCTTTCATAATCCAAATTTTCAACATCTAATTCACTTGATCATTCATTAATTTCCAATTTTTATTATACTCGGGTTTTGTCTTATTAAGACATTATAATTAGAAAGCATCTGTTTTTTTGATTGTTGGTGCAAATTCCGTTGATAAATTTGACCAAATGAAATTAATATCCTCACTTTCAATATTCTAATTTTTTTAAAAATATATTATTGGAACATATAATCTTGGCCCAAATTATCATGCACGTGCCAAAATATTATAATTCTGGCCATTCACGTGATTATGTGATTTATACATTAATGTAACAAATTTGCGTTATGAACTAACCACATTGAAATGTGTTGGGGACTGTTAAATGATAGGCTAGGCAATATTGTAATTAATTACACATGAAAGATCTTCAAGAGAAGGGGCTTTGATTCTATACCATTGAAATAGATTGGGAAAATATGCAAAATCTATGAGAAAGGGTTAGCAGTTTTGCAGGCTGAATATATTGTAAAAAAATATAAAAAGACTCCAGATAATGTTATAGATGAAATTGATGAATTAATATGGGGTGTGGACAATCGAAACAAGGCAAACGTCAATAGTACTACAATAGACATTCTTTCGATTGTCCACCTCTTGCATAGTTGATATTTAGAAAGTCATGTGATAAAATTGCGGTTGCTGATTTTTGGCAACGTTAAACTTTCTGGGCAGTAGGGCAGTAGATAATTATCTGAAGCTCTTTTCTTGATTTTTAGACCAAATAGTTAAGTGATTAAATTTCAAGGGATAATTTTGACTGCATATAACATGAATATGGAATATATATTGAATAAAAAATATAGATATATATAAATGTATTTAAATGCAAATAAAAAAAAATTTATTACAACCTAGAGAAAAAAAAAATTTTAAGGGGAAAAAAGTCTTTCTAAATCTAATAAAAAATTTATATGAACAAATTATCAAGTATGAAAAATTTTTTTAATTCTTAGAAAAAAATATAGTATAGTATATAGTATGATGATCAAGATCATATTTGAGAAAGAGTGAAGTAAAAAGAAAAGAAAAAAATAAAGCAAATAATTGATATTCACCAATTCACTATATATATATATATATGTAAGTGAATATATGTAAAGTGCAATAATTAAATAATTATCAAAAAAGACTGATATATGTTTTTATTTTTTTTCGGTATTTATTTACACCTTTACTTTTTCATCGTGTTCGTTTTTGATGGTTGGAGAAGTCGTGGTTGTGGTTACACCATCATCATTTGTTTTCGTCTCATTCAAAGCTTCATTATTGGAGGAGTTGGTAACATTTGTACCCTCATTAGTAGTTTCTGTACTACTGGTTTTTTTGGTTGCACCAGAAGCTACAATAACAGGGGGAGGTGAATCAGTGACGGTTGCAGGTGTATCAGAAGTGTTAGAGTTATTACCATGTGTTTCAGAATTTTTTTTTTTAGGGTCGTTAGACGATGTTTGTTTTAACTCGGCCTTATTCTTTTCGAGTTCGTTATTTTGTTGCTGCTGCTGCTGCTGCTGATCATTCTGTGAATGATAACCACCATTATGTACAGCAACACTATTAGCTGGTTGACCATTTGCTGGTTGGCCATGATATAAATGAAAACCTTCAACAAGTTCTTGTGAATGATAAACAGTTGATGAAATTGAATTATTTTGTATATGCGAGGGTTGAGGTTGCATTTCTATTTTGACAATATGTTTGTCTCCGGGTAATGAGGCTGTAGATGTTGCAACAGGACCTGAAATCATTCAAAATTTAATTAAAAAATTTTTTTTTAAAAATTCGATCCTCAATAAATACAACAATTAGTAAAATTATTATTATAGCAGCAAGTAATAATACACACACACACACACACATACCTTCAATATTTGGATCAATGTTTCTATTATTAAATAATTGGTTATTTGGATTATTATCACCTGGTTCATGTATATTTTGAACCATAAAATTTTGGTCAGTATGTTCTGGATGAAAAGCAACATGTCCTGCATTCGATGGCCCAGCAGCAGTCATTATTAAAGAGCCAGGAGGGAATCCATGGAATGGTGGTGGATAATGACTATAATGACCTGGAAATGATCCGTTAAAGTCACCTGGGATCATACCTGGAGGAGGGGCAACATTGGGTGCTGCCATTGTCATATGATGAGCATCATTTGGAAAAGCTTGGTGCATTTGTATAGGATTAAAACGTTCATGACTGTCAGCATAATGACCAGGACTACGACCACGAACAACCAAAGGTGCTGAAGTTGTTGTTGCAAGTTTATACGATTCATTATTATCAGCCTGAGCATACAAATCAATCATCACCACATAATATTGTTGAGCTGCTCTACGTTTACCATTATTTGCGGTCGCAGTTTTAAATTGGATACGTTCAAACGTAACAATATTTGAATACGTTCCTACCAGATTTAAATTAAGGTTTCCACCAGGATGAATTGGCTTTAACACAGGAACCATCTGAGGACCTTTGTCTCGTTTAGGTGTATGTTGAACTAGGTCTATTTTTTTATCACTGTTTGAAACCTTGGCCGAGATGGCTAGCAAAAATTGGGTGACCGCATGAGTTTGACCTTCGACCTCAATTATACATGACACTTCACTCTCATCAACCGAATTATCCAGTGCAGAAATCGAGAAGGTAGAACTGATTTGGAAATAGTTTCTTCTGTAGCATGTCCAATCATTGTCGGCCAAAAAAAACCCACGATCTACTTTAGAGTTAATAGTAACTTTTAAACTAAAAAAAAAAAATAGAATCGTGTAAATAATAAATAAAATAATAAATATTATTAATATTATATATAATTTATTTGTTGTTATTTATTGTGTGATCTTTAAGACAATTTGATGTCAAAAATATTATAAATAAATACCCTGTTCTTCTATCGATTGTATACAAGGGATGATGTTGCTGTGTTGGAGTGAAGAAGGTACCAACATCTTGTGGAAAGCCCATTATATTATTGTCTCTACGTTTTCTAAGTGCTTCTGATGGCGATGGTGTAGCGTGAAACAATGATGTAGTAAATGTGGGACAACTATCGATCTTGTTTTCAGGTGGTGTTGCAATATTTGTTGTAATTTGTGAATCGTTTTTATTATTAGATGATCCGGTCACTGTGTTCACAGGGATTGACATCGTAACAAGTGAATAATATATAAAGGATAAAAAAATTCTTTTTTATAATTTAAAAATTTTTTTTTTCAAAAAGTAAAAAAAAAGATTTTTAAGGGGGGGAAATCATTTTAAATTGTAAAAATATAAAAAATGATTTGTTTAAAATTGCACGATCACGTGACATGCATTATCATCAATCTCACAATACTTTCAAAAAATATGCTTTAAATATGTGTTCAAAGTCATGAACGATGAGATACAAAATTATAGAATGTCTAATAGCTTTACTTCTTTAAGAAAGGGTAGAATGGCAGCGAAAATTTTTTGTTCAAAGAATTTTGAAAAACTGTAACACAAAAATATAAGATCATTGCCGTTACTTTGTCAATAAAAATTATTATAAAACATCACAATTTTTTTCATTTTACCTGTAAAATCTAATATGCCTTACTCTGGAGCAAAAACTGGTTAGTATTTAAAAAATTTACCTTGTTTTCAAGGTTAAAAAGTAATTAAATTATTTTTTAATATTTAGGTTTCCGTAATGCACCTATAACAAAAGCTCTTTTACTTTGCGTTAGTGGCTGTTCACTAGCAGCCTACTTGTTAGATCGTAAATCATTATTTCAATTACAACTTAATCCTCAAATTACAACAAACCATGAGGTTAGTCAAGAGTGAGCGAGTAAACAAGCGTATATTTTATTCTTGACTAATTTTTTGATGTACATAGTTATGGCGACTTTTAACATCAAACATTGCATTAACAACTTCTGGTGAATTTTTTTTTGGAAGTATTGCCATATATCAACTTAGAATAATAGAGCAACAATTTGGTTCTTCAAAATATGCAGTAAATATATATATATCTTATTTTTTTAAAAAAAATTTAAATATTTATAATTGCAAAAATTTTAGGCATTCTTTTTTATATCAACTGCATTATCAACAATATTTGAAGTTGGAGCACTTTGTTTTGGAAGATCATACGGGTTGACTCATATACCGCCAGGGCCCTATGGTTTCATATTTGCAGCTCTTTACCAATACATGAAAATGATTCCTTCCGTTCACAAATATAAATTACTAGGATTACCCTTTGGTAAAAAAACTATAGTATATTTTATGGGAGCTTTACCTGTAAGATTTAATATTTTAAAGGATCAATTCTTTCATAAAGGAGGAATTCGATTATACATATATATATTTGATTTTTTGTAATTATCAAGATTAATAATATTAATATTAATATTATCATTATTATCATCATCATTATTACTACTGTTTGTTCACAATTTTGATATTGCTTTAGCTTTTGGCTTTCCGATATCCGCATTCTATTATTGGTGGTGTATGTGGTATTTTAGCTGGTGTAATATATCGAAATAATGTTTTCAAGATGAAAAAATGGAGATTTCCACAATTTATTAATCGATTTGCATCAAGATTTATATTACCATTAATATCAACCACTCCTTCTTCAACATCAACATCAACTACTGGACGTTCTTCATTTACAATAGACCATAGACTACAACCGACTACATCATCATCGTCATCAACAAATGATATAATAAGACGTCAGGCACGGATTGGCTCGCCATCTGTAGCACAGGTGAACTATATATATATATATTATTATTTTGATTGACAATTAAAATATATAGAGATGATAATTTATTTATAAATTATAATTATAATTAGACAATTGTCAATGAGGAGCATATTGCTAATCTCCGAGCAATGTTTCCACAAAGTTCACAAGAAGTTATTACTCAAGCATTAGAAACTACCAACAATGATATCAATAGAGCAGCTCAATTTCTTCTAGATCATCATTTTTAAAAAACATTATTTTTCTTTAAAAATTCACATTTATAATAATAATTGTATTTAATTTCTCTCTCATCTCTCAGGTAAACTAATTAATATTTATATTTTATAGTATTTTTTTTAATTATTTGAATGTATTTTGTTAATATTATATCAAAAAAAATTTTTTCTACTCGTACATTCATACACACACACACACATACATTTATTTACATATATACGCATTCATTAATAATATTAATAATAATAGAGATTTTTAATAAAATAAAATAAAATTTTTAAAACAATAGCAATAAAACAATAAAATAATAATTTATATAGATTAAAAAAAAATATTTATTTAGCAAATTTTTTTACAATATATATTTAGCATATATATTAATTAATATAATAATAAATAAATGAATATTTATATGGGTTTATTATTTTGTTGATTTTTTTTCTAGAATCGCATCAACAGCCTTTCCAAAATTATCAAAAACTCCATCTATAGAGTTTTTAAGTTCATCACCTTCTCTATATTTACCAGTTTTAACTGTCCAAATAAATTAAATGACGAATTGATTTAATGACCAAAAATCAAAGTATCATTTATTATTTTTATATAAATAATTGAAACATACCAAGATATCTAATAAGCCCCAGCTCCTTCGCACCTCCTAATTATTATTAATATTATGATGTTAAAAAGACAAAACAAAACAAATTTTGGCTTTTAAAATTTGAAATATATTTATATTTATATTTATATTCTATACATTCCTCCCAAATCTTGATCCACGCTATCACCAATCATCACTACTTGATTTGCTTTATCTAATAGGTTGATGTCTTTAAGTGCAATTTCAAAAAAACTTCTTTCTGGCTATTAAAATAAATAAACAAACAAATATATATATAATAAATAAAATGACAAACAAACAAATAAATAAAACAAATAAATAAAAAATAAATAAAAATAAATAAATAAATAAAATAAATAAATAAACAAGCAAACAAACAAACAAAAGATATTTCAAAATCATACCTTTCCTACTATAATTGGTTTAGCTTGAGTAGAATATTCTAATGCTTCAACAAATGCACCCGGACCCAAACTTAAACCATTTTCATCCCGAAAATATTTTCCTTTATGAATTGCAATTAATGTTGAACTCGGATTATTTGACAATATTTTGAATGCTTTATTAAGCTGTTAAATAATATTAATATATATATATATATATATATATAAATCATTTATTAATGATATTATTTTATTAAAAACTGTTCTTCTCCATCGATTATTGCTTTTTTTTTTTTTACCTTCTCGTAATGAAAACTTGAAGGTGATAAACCGATTACTACCGAATCGTTTGGTTCATTAGTTGAGACTCCTTGGAAATCTTCAATTGCTTCATCTTCAAGAAAAACTAATGGACTATTATAATATAAACGATAAATCTTTCTAGGTAGATAATATTATCTTTTTCTCTTGCGTTATTATTACTACTGTTATCATATTATACCTAAGACCACGTGAAATTACCAAATTTCGACATGCAACTAAAGATGTGAAAATCTTTTTAATTGATTATAAATAATAGCTCGTAAGTAAGTTGATTAAATGTATCATACTCGAAATAAATTATAAGTTTTACCTCTTCTTTATTAATTTCAAAACCTAAATTCTTTAATAAATTATGAACTTTTGAAACACTTTGTGTAGTTGTGTTGGTACAAAACCTAATCTATAGAAGTTTTTTGATTATAAATATACTGTTGCAATAATGTATATATCACATCTATCTATCTCGCATATATATATATATATATACTCAACAGGAAGACTAGTTTGACGAAGTTTTTTCAAACCAAGCACAGCTCCTTCACAAGCCTATAACATTAATAATATTAATAATAAAATGAATAATTCGTTTTATTTTATATACACACACACATATATATGTACATATACATATCAAGAATCCATGACCTTATCTCCAATATGTAAAACTCCGGAAAGGTCTATTAATACGCCCCTAATAGAAGCCATATTAAAAAGCTATACATCCAAATTTTTTAATTTGTGACATAAAAATGTTAATCGATCCCCAAAAATCAAAAATTTTTCTTGTGGTTTTTGAAAACCCAAATTTATATATACTTAAAAAAAAATACATTATAAATTTTACATAATAAAAAATTTGATACACGTGTTCAATCTACTAATAAAAAATTTTTTTTAAAGAATTAATTAAGTGTCGAAAGCTCATATAATAGTTATTGATCATCATTACAATTTTGTAAGGTTGATTTAAATTCTCGGAATGCTGCTTTATACAAGTTATCATCGACAAAAACATCGATGGCTGTTAGTGATAAACATTTCGCAGCACGAATTGTTGAAATGTGAGCATCCAGAGACTTTGCAGCATTTGCAAATTCTTCTGTATGAAGTTTAGCTTGCGTTCCAATATTATATCTATATTAAATAGATAGATAAATGTATTTGATTTTAGTTAGTCGGTCATTTTTTTAAAAATTATATATATGTATTGATTTTACTTACACGCAATGAATACTTGGCACTACGTAACTGACATTTCCCTAAATCATTAGAAATAAAAATTTTTTTTAAATTAAAAATAAATAAAAATAAAATACATGCATACAATAATAATTTCTACAAACCATATCAGTAGAAGATTTTGTAACTTTTAATTCATCTTGTTTACTTCTATAATGAACTCCTCTTTCACTCATGTATCTAGCGAATCTTTCAGCTAAATGTTCATTTACCAGAACATCTAAAATAATAATTACAAAAACAATTTAATTAACAGCCTGATTTCCCAAGATATTATTGATTTATTCAAATACCATTATATTCAGGGTCCCAAGTTAATTTAACATTGCATGCTGTAGCAGTTGCTGCTGAATCAAAGCATGCAGTTATCTTATAACGAAGTTGCGTTAGTTGTGATTTGCTAGGCGCACGTATATTAAATTTGGCTGATGCATAATCAGTTATCACTAATTTTATAAAAAGAAAGTCAGGAAAATGTTTATATATTTTTTTTTCTAATTAGATATTAAAATAAAACCATTAAACTTACCATTTAATGCTTTCCCGCCATTTGTTATGATTCCGTGAACTCTAAATATTTATTACATGTGTTTAATTATTATATTTAACATTTATTCCTCTAAAAAAATTTTTCTATCTTTACCTATTCGTTGGATGAAGTTGTTGTCGTAACAAAGAAATAGAATTGTATGCTGAAACTACGGCATCCAAAGCATTTGCACCTAAATAAAATATTAGACTTGTTTTTAAATGGACAAAAGATACATATAATAATATATTGATAAAAGTCATCAACATACCTTCCCAAGGAGAACCTTTTTTAAAGAAAAAATAGAAGAATTATAGGAGAAAAAAAATTTTATTATTATTAAAAAGATTCTTATATTATTATATTATCATTACATAAAAAATTGTATTATATACCAGCAGCATGTGCACCTTTGCCAAAATATTCAACATTCACAGATGCAGATGCCAAATAATTTCCATAAATTGCGTCAGCATGGCTATCATTATCATCATTATATTAAAAGAGAAACATTTATAAATGGACTATTATTGACTATGAATGAGGTTTATTTATTTTTGTTTTTGTTTTTTTTAAATAATAAAGGAAACTTACGCAGGATGTACCATTAAACTAGCATCAATACCCTTATATGCACCAGCTTGAATCAATTTAATCTTTCCAGCTTGAAGTTCTATTAAATTATAAATTATAAATTATTATTTTATAAAGAGATAATCAAATAAAAATCATTTATTATAAAAACCTTCTGCTGGCGTTCCCAATAGTATGATTTTTCCAGGTACATGAAACATCTTCATAACCGTCATAACACCTATCAAATAATCAAAAAAAAAATTTTAAAAAATGCATTAAAAAAAAAGACATAGACCAACAACAATAACAATACCAATTGCGGCTGCAACTCCGGATATCGCAATTAAATCTATCAAAAAAAAAATTTTTTTTCAGAATAAAAAAAAACAAAAAATTTTAATTGAATATTATTATTAAAAAATTGTTCTTAACTTACTATGACCACATCCATGTCCAATACCAGGAAGTGCGTCATATCTATATATTAATAAGAAATATATATTAGTCATAATCTTTTTTTCATTACAATATTAACGCTAATTAATAATAGCGTTATCTTTTGAATAACTAACTCTGAATTGATTGCAACAATTCTCCCAGGGCCTATTGGTGATGTATATTCAGCATGAAAAGCAGTTTCTAATCCATATGCTTGACGAACCACTCTAAAACCTTTGGACTCGAGATAATCTGTCAAAGTATCATGTGCAAATTTTTCTTGATATGCAAGTTCAGGTTTTTCATGAATCTATTGATTAAATATTTTATTTAGTTGTTGATACAAAATTTATATAGATTTTTGATTCGATTTATATATTATTAAAATTTAATAAATACACCAATACTTATTGTGCGTAACTCTTCACTTATTTCATCAATAACAGATTCTATTGTAGAAGCATATCCTAAATCTGGTTGAACAATTATATCAAAAATTCAATATAAATATATAAATACATAATGCTTGTAATAATCAATCGATTAATTGATTAATGAATTTATATTTACCGATACTTGCGGTAGACTCTTGAAACATTGAACTTCCATCCCCATTATTCAATTCAATTGATTCAGCACCAGATCTAACACTGCCAGGTGAATCTGATAATCGCTTTTGTCTTTTTTGCCTGAATCTTTCTTGAGCCTCTGCACCACTTTTTAATCTTTTTAATCTTCTTTGATTTTCAATTATATTATTTTCAGCGTGCTGAATCTTTGTATATAGGTCTTTTGCCAGTTCTTCATCAGTGGTCATGGTGATCAATTGTCTAAATTCAGAAACTTTTTTTTGTGCCAATTCTATGTCCAAAATAGCTTGACGTTGAGCAGCAGCATTTTTTGAGGTTCCACCTGGTGTAAACAATTTAAGTTGATCAGGTGACATGCCTACAAGGGAAAAATTAGATGTAGATGATGAAGGTGTAGATGGCGATTGTTGCGAATCAATCTTATGTTGTTGAGGTGTTGAATCAGTCAAGTTGACTAAATCGTTATTATTATTGTTACTTTGTTGCTGCTGTTGTAGTAATTGTTGTTGCGGGGATTGTGATGATTGATTTGCAATAAAAGACTTGAAAGTCGTATCAGATATTGGTGTATTAGAAAGTCGATTAATTTCTTCATAAATTTTTGTTTTATCCAAAACTTTTATATTAGTCCAATTACGGTTTGCGTCTTCCATGATTTTTTGTTTAGCTGGCTTGGTTTCTTGATATGTATTGATAAGCTCACTATAAGCAAATGCATTGCAATAATATTGATATAAATTTGTGGGATTAGGATAGAGAAAAGTTTTACTAAACTTTTGTTGTGTAAGATAAGTTTTTTGAGACATTATTACTATTTACTTTTTCTCACTTACGCACACATATATATCTATATTTAACAAACTGTTTGCTAATAAAAATAAACTAATAATTATATATATTTTATTTATTTATTAAAAATAATCACTAATTATTCTTCTTTATCTTCTTTATTGAGGAAGTAAAATTTATTTTTTTATCTTTTTTTGTGGAAGAATAAAAGAGAAAGAAGGAACTTTTCTTTAACTTTTTTTTTTTCTTACGTGATACCAGTCAGGAAAATTCCTTATTTACGTAAATTGTGACCATTATTATATAACCAATCATATTATCAGAATGCGGATTATGCTAGACATAATGTATCAGGTGATTATTAATTATGTCGATTTTTTACAAATTTGTAATTATTATTATTATATTACTGCTCCTTTGTTTTTATATCAATTACATAATTAAAGAAATTTTTTTGAAAAAACGAACTCAAAAATCGCTGCGGTAATTGTCATACGGTGTAGATAATCTATATAATTGCTTATATTCAGCTTCAAAAAACATATCTTCATGGTTCAAATTTCAAAACTTATAGACTAGTTTTTTCTTAAATTAAAAATTGGCTGAGCCTTAGCATTTGAAATTTTAAATTTTATTATCATTTATACACTTGGAAAAATCGAGAATTAAAAAAGTTTAACTAACGAAAATCATTACCAATTTTGTCGTGAGGTTAAGACACAAAAAAACTATGGACTCCTTTTTAATGTTAATATTAAACACGGTTGGCTCCGACAAAATAATAATAATTTCTATAATGGTATTAATAATAATAGTAATTTCTGTGCCGTAAATAATTTTGGCTGCCGTAAATAATCTCGGCTACTGTATAATAGTAATAGTAGCAACTTTGGTCTTCTTCCACGTGTACGTTTTTCAGTTCAGCCTGGGTACAATTATTTTCATTAGTATTAGCTCCAATTATTTCACATTATTATTGCTACTGTTATTTTTACTTGTTTTTAATTTTTTATAAAAAGTGCTGACTATTGTTTATTACCAATTTTAAAATACTATTAAGAATTATCTAAAAAAAAAGTAATTTTGTGTGACACTGGATGAAAAATATGATTGGCTAATTTTATGCGTTGAAAAAATTTATTAGTATTAGTCATAGTAATAGTATTCGGACACCTATTTTTACATCTAAAAACATTTTAATTAAAAGAATCCGAAATTCGACGAAAATCGCAATAATATTTTTTTTGTTTCTCGCTAGCATAAATAATTTATAATAAATTAAAAAAAATTAGTAATTAAAATCGCATTTATAAAAATCAAGATTGACAATATTTTTTTTAACCTTTAAAAACGTAAAAATGCCAAAAAACAAAGAGGAAAAATTTTGGGCATTCATGAACAACTTTGGAATGAACTAGGGAGGCGATTAGATAAGCGAACACAAAAAATGCCAACGAATTGGAAGCTGCTTCACAAGGAGTGCGGTCAAGAACTCCATACGAAACTTGCTACAAATTAATAGAAAGCATAACTAGAAGGATTGAGGTATGCATTTCTAGCGATGAATGGCCAACTCGATATTAATATCATTTTTTTATTTGTTTATAAATTGAATACAAAATAAATATTTTGTTGTTGGTCATCTTTCTATACTTTTAAAGTGGTCTATTATAGACAGCAAGCTTTTTGAGATACCTGTAACTCCACCGACTATTCCGAGACCTGCTCTCCACATTCA